CTGGTTTCGATGTTCAGAAATTGGGATGTTGAATTATTAGATGTGAATTCTCCATTAAAATGTGAAAACAACATCATTAGAAGTGCAAGAGACTTGAAAATTATCGAAAGTTCATGTAACATAATCGGTACATTTCTGGTTTTATCCTTTTTCATAACTGTTGTTAAAAGCGCAAAATACCCTTAAAAGAATCAATGGCCTTAAATATTCCGGATAATATTTCATTCGATTCTTCAATGTCTTTTCGTAGTCTGCCGTGATTTCTTATTACGATAGTGTTTCTGATCATTCAAAATTTTCGGAACGTGATACACTGTATAGTGATTAGAATAACGATGCAGTATTGAAGTTTTTATCTGGCATGCAAAGTCACGTGTCATGTACAATAAATGTGTGCGTATTAGTATAAAAGTATGAAGATTAATCGTGATTTTTTTGCCGTCTTTTTTTTTTTTTACGCTTATATTTGGAAATCTTTCATAATGTACTGTTTTTATTTTCTTCTGCTTGCCCGAAACCTTGCTCTCCGGCTTATCGTATCTCCTACTCTTCCACGTGACTCTATCACTTTCTCCTTCATCTGCATACTTTATTTGGTGATTGAATCACGTGACACACAACAATACGTACTGTATATATGCACGATAATACAATAGTAGTATGTAAACAACGCTAATTTAATAAATATATTTGTTTAATTCATCTTTTAAAAAGTTTTTGTCGCTATCCTTTTGCCACTGATATTTATTCTCCAACATCATATTATGTAAAGCATTTGCTGTATAAATTAACCTGAGGGAAAGTTTTTAGAGGGATTGTTTTCTTGGATTCAAATTTATAGAAGCCATCAATTTTTTCTTCAAACTTAATTGAGAGTTTTGGAGTGGTAAGTTTTTCACATCCAGTATTTGTCCCAATGAACACCTTATTTTTCAATTCTGAATTAAAGACAACACCTGTACCATACTTAATTTTAAGAATATCAATGCCCGCACTAATTTGTGGTACTAAATATCCAGTCACTTCCACTTCATCGTCAAAATCTATTCTAGGCGTGTGGACATTATTTTGGATATTAAAGATATTATCGATTAAATTTTCCTTAATTAATTCTACTGTATATTTAAGTGCTATTGTAGTATCCATTCCGAATCTTAGAATAATAGAAGGGCTAACCCCGATACCTGCGGAAGCTTGAATTGCCATCTCAGGCCCTACGGTTAAAATATCTGGTATTGAAAGTCCGGGGATTCCGGTTTTATAAAGTTCTGCACTCGGAGTTTTTAGGGGGGTCGAGATATATCCTTGATAGAAAAAATCTAGATTAAGCTTTAAATCTCCCTCCAACGAGAATTTGATGAATGACTGATGATGGCGTCCAATATGAGCGTAAAGGCTTATGGTTGCGTTACCGGTTGAATAACAATCTTCACAATAAAATTTATACCGATTTCCTTTCACTTGTCCCTTGCTAATTGTGACATTGGGATTAGAGGTATGACCAGTTTTATGATTATACATAGCATTTAACGATATGGTTTTGGTTTTGTTGATCAGGTGATGATTAGGATCGTTATTAAATTTAACATCCAAGGTCAAAGTATCCATGTAATCCGTGATATTAACAGCTTGCAAATGAGAAAATGTTACTGTTCCGTTTTTCTCATCAATTGCCGATTTTTCTACAGTAAAAAATTGATTTGTTTTCTTTCCATTGCAAGTCCACAAATGACTAATCCAGAGCAGAAATTTCGGTGGCCAATTTAAAATCTCCTTTAAGGGGTGCTCTGAGGTTAAAATAATCTTATCAGGGTAACATTGAACATTTGTAAAAATGCCACTCGAATCAGGATTGTACCCAGGAATTTTCGTTTC